CGGGGGGGTGGGGTGGGGGGGTGGAGAGTGAATGCAGATGAATAAAGCCATTTTCTCATTTAGTATGATTTCCTGAATGGGCAGGATTGAAAACATAATAGAATAAAAAAATTTCAACCTTGCAATATCTTTTTTTTTAAGATTTTATTGGGGAATTGGGAGAGGGGAACAGCATTGGGGAATTGGGGAAGAGGAACAGACAAGTTGCTGTCCTTTTGTTCTTCAGTCTAGTTGTGAGGGCGTCACTTCACTGGCCCATGTTGATACTATCATTGTGCTCTTCCTGGGTGAGGCAGTCACTTGCTGGCCATTGGATGGCCGCTCATGGTGGCTCTTGGCAGCTCACACTGGCTGCCGGCCACTCATGGTAGCATTACGGTAGCCCACTGCAGCTCCACTGCAGCCTATGCTGTCGCTGGTGACTCACAGCAGCCCAGCTCCAGGTCGAATTGTTATTCACCATCTTAGCTGTAGAGGGCGCAGCATCACTGGCCCTCATGTGGGATCCGAACCGGGGTCCTGCTGCTTAGAGCTGGCGTCCCAAGCCAGCTCTTAACCAATGCGCCGCTTGGCCGGTCCAAGCTTGCAGTATCTTTGATGAATCACAATATAAACTGAAGAGGGTACAGCACCACCTTTTTGTGTATGCGTATTGTAAGTAGGATGGCAGTAGGTGCTGGCTGTACCTACTTTTAGTTTGTTTAAATTTTCTTTTTGCACGCCCTTGTGTACTTGTCCCGTTACTCTCCTATTCCTTGTTGTACCCTAGTAAAAGGGACCAGATCAGACAGACAGACTAACTTGAGCGCCTCTTTTATTTGTGTATCTGAGAAGAGCAAGGTAACATAGCTTCAAGGTATGGAAAACCTTGAAAAACAAGTGCTTAATCCTTGGTTTTCCTCAAAGTGAATCCTTAACCTTTGCACTATTTCAGATCAAATCAGCAAATACTATTTGTTGGTTTTATATCACTCCTAAAAATATTCTAAATGTCAGCATTTTCTTCTGAAGTACGTGACCTGCTTATTTTCTATGTGTGGTCCATTTATCAGTTTACTCCCTGTGTGCTTCTTACTGAAATAGCGCTTCATCTGAAAGAAATGTTTGAACTTACTAATACTTGGGTAGGTTATTTCATCTTTCTGAGTTCCATTTTCTCATTTGTAAGAAGAGAATAACAGACTTGCTCCATTTTGTATACTTCCCAAGGATATAGAAAGAACAAATGAAATAATGGATGGAAGAGCGCTTGTAAAACTATACAACGCATTTAAACATAAAGTGTTATTACTCAGCCATATCTCAGTGCAGAAAAAGTGGCAGAAACATGAACTGTTGACTTTTGTGTCCTGGGGCTTTAGTGTCATAAAGCATCTATACTTTATTTTATGCGGGGGGAAGTCATCTCTAATGCCTCAGCCTTGGTAAAGTATAAGGAAACGAGACCAGTTTTGTGCCCGTTTACCCACAAGAAGGATGTGTGTGGCCCCTACCCACTCTTATCCAGCAGCCAGACAGAAAATTGATTTTGTTAATATATATTTTTTCATTTTTTAGGGATATTTCTTTTCTGTATGATGTTAAATATGTTAAAGGGGAGGCAAGGGAGAGTATGCTTTGTCCCCCACATTCAGACAGTTCCTTACAGTCACGTGATGGTGTCATTGTGCCTCATAAGGTAAATAAAATATTCGACTAGTAATTTCCTCTCTACTTTTTAAAGAAAACATTTTCTCACATATAAAGCAGTGTTGTATTATAGCAACAACCTGCATTGCTTATCAGTTTTCATAGCACTTTTAATTATTTCTAGAAAAAGGTATTTGGTGAGAAAAGATCAAAGATACCTTATTTTAAGTTGTTTTTCGGTTATCCACTTTAATCTAGAAAATACGATATAGAATTCTTGATTTTTTTTTAGAAATCTACAGTTTAAAGTTATAGAATTCTTATTTTGAGGATGTTGCTAAGATGAATTTTAAATTCCTATTGAATTTTAAAGAGTCAATGGATTTTTTGACTGGTATATGAGACACCTGTAACTAATACTAAAAAGGTTATTCTGTAATTCTTGGTGTTTTTTATTTTTAATGTGTGCTCTGCTAAATTTTTTACTACTTACCATGTCCCATATTACTAATATTGTTATTTTTCTAATCCAAATCTCTTAATAAATAAAAATCTAATTCCTTTGGGTAGGAGTTAGAATTTGTGCAGTTCAGTTTTTTTCATCTACTAATGTTTTCATTCTTATTTTTTCTTTTTAAGCCAAAGAAACTAACAGATACTTTGATTCCTGAAGAATTTCATATTGTGTCAAATATAGGAGTTTCCGGTTTGGAGTGTTATGATGAGTGAGTACTATGGTCTACACTGAATACCTGACAAGTTGAACTGTTTCCTGCTTCCCAGACAGAGAGGAACCTGAACACAGTTCATTCATGTTCCTAGTCAACATTTGCACTGAAATGGGGAAACATGTGGCCTACCAACCTAATACATTTTTTAAAAATCATTTTAATTTAAGAAACTAATGAAAAAGTCTTGAAAGAGTTTAGAGATTAAATTGTTCTCTGTCTTTTCCTATTATTTAATTTTGAATTAGAAAAAATTGGATCTTTGTTCCGAATGCTTAGCTATGCCTCTTCGGGAATGGTTTTGAGCAATGACCATGGAGACCAAGGCAAGCAGCCCCAAAAGTTGGATTCTCATAGCGCACGATTCTAGGGCTTAGCCCCAGACTGCAGACTATTCCTGTCCAGTTTTCTATGATTCCTGGTTATAGGAGTGAAAATGGGATCTTGCTTTTATTTTCTGAAACAACACTTGAATGTTTCATAGTTTGAAAAACTAAAACTTGGGGCTAAGGCTTTATAATAAAATATCCAGAAGCTGTCACGCTTTTTACCATATCCATCCAGTACACATGTTATATGGCATTTCCTTATGATGGTGGGTTTCAGAACAATAGTTTGCCAAAGAGAACTAAGTAGAACTCATTTTTGGGGTAACTTTTAATTTTTGTATAATTTTGAAATTATAAATAAGTTACAAAATAGGACAGGGAACTCCCATATACCCTCTATCCTGACTCACTAGGTGCTTCATTTGCTTTAATACACACACACACACACACACACACACACACACGGTTTTAAACTATTGAAGAGTAAGTTGGAGACCAAAGGAAATGCTTATTAGCTAGGGGAAGAAAAAAGATATATAAATAATAATGAATTTAAAGGATTACCATGTGGCTTTTATTGTGATAGTCATTTAGGTATAAACAAGTACTTCCAGAGGACAAATGTAGCTGGGAGTCAAGAAAATTATGTTCTGGTTTCATGTCTGCTTCTTACTCATTTTATAACCTATTTAGTCACTTAACTTAGTTGACTTACATGTTCTGAGAACATCTTTCCACCTTTGAAAAGGCTCTTTTTAATGAATCAAGGAAATTTTCATATTGTGATATATTAAGGAATGTGATTAAAGCTCCTTTACTAAAAAATGTTTCAAATATAATAAATATCATTACATCTGTGTCTGTAGATATCTAAGACTATTTAAGTATGATCTTATGTGCAAGATGGTCAACCTTTCTGGTTGTCTTCAAGCTTCTCAATTCCAATCTTAAGTTGATCATGTTATGATATGTGATAAACAAGCAAGATAATTTTCTTATAATAACATTTACCTGTTGTATTTATTGCAGCAAATATACTACTCTCCTCACAGATAGTGAAAATAGGCTATTGGTCTTCCCCTCCATGTAAGTAGAGTTTATTTTCAAAAGTGTTTTTTAGAAAGAATAACTATATACATATATATTCATTTTTCTTGGTACTGTATTACACACACACACACACACACACACACACACACACACACAAATTAAAACGACAGCAGAAACCCAAGACAATATTGCCACAATTCTGTCATCTAATCAGTGTTTTCATTTGTCCAATTGCATTTTCAATTTTTATATATTTATAATATTTAAGTACTATAAAATGCTATTTTTATAGTTTTAATTCTCTATATTGCTTTCTAATTTTCTTTTATCGTGGTAAGAACACTTAACATGAGATCTACCCTCTTAACAAATTTTTAAGTGTGGAATACAGTTAACTGTAGGTACAATGTTGAATAGCAGACCTGTAGAACTTACTCACCTTGCATAACTGAGACTTTTTGTCTGCTTATTAGCAATTCCCCATTTCCCTCTCCCACCAGTCCCTGGAAACCTCTTTTCCGCTCTATGATCCTATGAGTTTGACTGTTTTAGATGCCTCATGTAAGTGGATCCATGCAGTATTTGTACTTCCGCAACTGGCTTATTTTACTTAGCATGACATTCTTTAGGTTCATCCATGTTGTTGCATACTGCCGAATTTTCTTCTTTTTTAAGGCAGAATAATATTCCAGTGTGGTATATAATAATATACCACATCTTCTTTATCCATTCATCCGTCGATGTACATCTGTGTTGTTTCCACATGTTATGACTCGTGCTGCCGTGGACATGGGAGTGCTGATATCTCTTTGAGATCCTGATTTCAGTTCTTTTGGATAAATACTCAGAAGTGGGATTGCTGGATCATATATAAAATACTTTTGTATTCTACATTTAACCATTAGTATTACTCCATTTTGCTACAGTCTTTTGGTTTTTTTTCCTTCTTTGTCCCTTTTCCTCTCTTACGTTGTGAAGTAATCAATATTGACAGCTTGGTGTTTATCTCTCCACATTTTTTTCTATGTTCTTAACAGTCATACACAATAGGTGTATAGAATTTTGGGGGGAGGGAGCATTATATTCTTTTATGAGAGAGGATCATACTATTTGCATTTTTCTTTTTTTAAAAAGACTATATTACTGATATCCCACTAGATCAGTACTTATAATTCTAATGCTTTAAAATATCATTAATATTCCATAGTATATACATTTTCTTTATGCATATTATATTCTTTTTGTGATTTGAGGATAACACTAATTACATACGTCTGCCACCTTTAATCTTTTAGGAAACCTAATAAAAGAGTAGAAGTGGTCAAGCTGAATGATGTGATGGATACTATGCTAGAGAGGGCTGGTGTGGAAACTCAGGAATATAAAGGGCCAACCAAGGTAATTGCAAAGATCACTGTAACCTAGTGGTTAAGAGCATGCACTCTGGGGATAGAACGCCTGGATTGACATCTCGGCCCTGCCATTTATTAGCTGGTGAACCTGGGCAAGTCATTTGTGCCTCACTTTCCTCTGTAACTTAGAGATGATAATAATATTTGCCTCATAGGGTTTAGGTGGAGATTAAAATGACATCGTGAATGTAAATGGCCGAGAACAGTGCTTGGCATGTGGTAAACACTGTATAATTAATTGTTAGTACAGTTTACCCTTGAGCAACACAGGTTGAACTACACAGTCCACTTATACATGGATTTTTTTGTAAATACTGTAAATGTATTTTTGCTTCCTTATGATTTTCTTAATAACATTTTCTTTTCTCTAGCTAACTTTATTGTAAGAATACAGTACATAATACATATAAAATACAAAATTGTGTTAACTGTTCATGTTTTTGGTACGGCTTCCTTCCGGTCAACAGTTGGCTAATAGTAGTTAAGTTTTTGGGGAGTCAAAAGTTATACATGGATTTTTGACTGCATGGTGGGTTGGCGCTCCTAACCCCTGTGTTGTTCAAGAGTCAACTGTATTATTACTGTATTTCATTGAATACAAGTCACCATTAATTATAAGATGCTTATTTTATGTACCAATAAAAAACACTGCCCGGCCGGACAAGTGGTTCAGTTGGTTAAGAGCTCACTCAGGAGTGCGAGCCTTGAGCAACAGTGGTTTGATTCCTGGCCTGAGCTGAGCTGCAGCTGAGCTGCCAACAGATGGCAGGCTGGCCCAGCTAAAAAAACAAAACCAAACAAACAAACAAACAAAAAACACTGCCAATTAAATCGTGCTTTCTTACCACTTATAATTTTTATCTTGTGCTTAATGAAAGGGCTTTTTCAGTCTTACATAGATATAGATTTATTTATTTATGAAGATTATTTCTTTTTCATTTTGTAAATTTTTATTTTTATAGAATTTATAACTTACAGATAAGTTCAATATAAGGCACTGTTATGTAACCTTTACACAGATTCACCCAATTGGTTACATTGGGCTCTGTTTGCTTTATCATTCTCTCTCCTTCTCTACATATCTCTATATGTATAGTTTTATTCTGAACCATTTTCTTTTCTTCTTTTTTATTTTTTATTCTGAACCATTTTAGAGTAAGCTGGTGACATCGTGCCTCTTTACCACCAAACATTCCAGGGTGTATACTTCCTATGGATGAGGACATTCTTTTACATGTCTATAATACAGTAATCAAAATCAGGAAATTTAACATTGATATGATAGTCCATGTTCAAATTTATCAATTATGCCTGTAATGGCTTTTTATAGCTATTTTTCCTTCTATTTCAGGATCCCAGATTACACAGTCCTTTTGTCATGTTACTTTAGACAACTATAATCTAAAACAGTTCTTTGGGTTTTTTTGACCCTGATATTTGGAAGAATACAGGAGAGTTATTCTATAGAATGCTCTTCAGTTTGGGTTTGTTTGATGTGTACTTGCAATTAGATTCAGGTGTTGTATTTTGGCAGGTTTACCATAGAAGTGATATTGTGGCCTCACATAAAGAGGTGTAATGATTAGACACAGATTTTAAAAAATAATATATCGCTTTATGCATATGTTTATAAAGGAAAATGTAAGCGAAATAAATTAATCAAGGTGTTTCTAAAGCTTATTCACATGTAGAGCCCTTAACTCTTAAAATGGTTTTAATGACAGGATTGCAATACATGCTAATTGACTTACTTGTCTTCTGCCAGATGCACAATCTACTACATACATTGAAGAAGGAGCAGACCATTTACAATACAGTGTTTCATGAGCTTATTCGACAAGTCAGCGTGGACTGTGCAGATAGAGGAGAACTATTGTCCAAAATCAGGTTAGAGCTGTTACTGGAGTGTTCCAGTTTCCTTTCGACTTTTGTATTAGAATTATGTTTGTATCTGCTTTGGAGAAAATCACAAAAGTATACTTCTCTATTCTATTGATAATAAGAAGCCTAATTGCTTTTCTATTATATTTTCTATAATAAAAATATAATAGTTGAGAACTTCCTTGAGGTGATTTCTTTTGGGATGTTTGACAAAATATTCTTTTATGATTAGGAGTGAAGTGCTATGTGAAATGGTAGAAAAAGTAGAGATTCTGGAGACAGACTGATCTGGTTTCTACTTATCGTATGTGTGTGACCTTGGTAAAAGTGTGAGCCTTAATTTTCTCATCTGTAAGTGAAGATAATAGCTGGTGTGAAAATTTTCATCTGTTCATTAATTGGTCAATAATATTGAGTGTCTATTCTGTGTCAGGCATTAAGGTGCTTCATAGGATTGTGGTGAGGTTTAAATGATAGCACAGACTTAGGCACTCAATGCATTTAATTATTATAGATGATGATAATAAAGACTATTATTACTATAATTATTCTTGACTCTGGTACTTTCCAAAAGCTGAAATGAATAGTAGAATTAAAATACTGAGTTCAGATTATGTATTTGCAGCTTACTTGCCATAGAACCATAGGCAAATTATTAATCTCTCTGAATATCTGTTTTTCCTGAATGGGCATTAATAATAATAATTTGTCCCATGTCCCTTTTTCATAATTCCCATTTCCTTGTCTCTGTGCTGCATTCTGGATAATTTTTTCTAGGACATGAATACCCTCTTTAGCCATTCTATTCTGCTATAACCCATCTGTTGAGTTTTACAATTCAGTAATTACATTTTTGTCCCCTAAGAGGTCTATTGGTTTGTTTCCATGTGTGTCATCATACTTAATAAGTTTTTTGTTGCTTTTTAGATTCTATCTTTTATTTCTCAAACACTCCATGTGTAATTTTAAATTCTAAATTTGATAATTCTAATAGATGAAGACCAGTAGCATCTAAATCTACTCTTGTTTCTTCTGAGTCTCATTCATGGTGGTTTATTGATATAAGTATTTTGCAGTCTTTGCTTGTGTGGCTAATATTTCTCTAATCTTAACCATTATATCCTCAGGATATAAATCATGGATGCTTTCGGAAGAAAGGATTTGCTTTTTCTCCCTTCTGGAATCCTGGCTTGATGCAGTAGTTCTACACTCAGGTCTCCCACTTTAAAGGTGGCCTAAGACTTAGCCTCTGGGACCCAGTGTTGGTATTTTTAGTGGGGCAACCCTGACCTTGCCACCTCCTACTCCATTCTTAGCTTATTGTTTTGTTTGTTGTTTTTGTTTTTCATCCCTAGAGACTTCTATTTCTTCCTGTGAGCTCCTTAATGCTTCAAAAAGTATGCTCTATCATGGATATAGTTGTACTGTCATAGGAAGGCCCTTCAGAGTATTTTGTTCCTATAATGTTAGCTAAAGAAGGTGTTTTTGAAGTTGTTATTTCCTGATGTATGAGCTGCACATTGAGCTGATAATCGCCTTTTCACTTTAAGTGTTTAAATGAGGGGCTGAATAATTCTTTCTGTCTATGTGCAAGATTAAGCTAAATGACTATTTCAACTCAAAGGTATTATTCTGAGGTTTCAGGGATAGAATATAATACTTAGATGATTTTTAATATAAATGAAGACTGCTCAGTTACTGTATCCGTAATTTATCATCTGTGATTATGTCCAAATATGTTGTTTGGTTTTATTCAGAAGCAGAAGAAATGACTTCGTTGTATTTAACCCTTTGTTTATTTTTATACAGTTGGTGTCTTTTTACATTTTGGTCAATTTGAGAAAAGTGGTTTTATTCATGAATTGAATTATTTATAAAATCCCACTGTCTTCAAGGTACTCTATTAGGTGTTATAGATATGTAAATACATGAGACATGATGCCTATTCATAGAGTTTGTAATTTAGAAGAAGAAAAAAAAGTCCTTATTTTGTTTTACATCTCTGATATTATATTCCAAATAATTATGACTCTGGTTAAAATTCTTCACAATTCATTCACGTGTATGAGCATGGCAGGAATACGCAGCTTAGATCCCTTTCTTTCCAACCTTGCTCTTTCCCATATCTCATCGTGAGTGTCTGCCCACTATTTCTTTAACATTATATTCTCCCATAATTTTGCTCCTTTTTCCCTTTTTTCTGCATGTTGTCTTGCTTTCCTTCCTTCTCCTGCAGAGAGCGGTATGTACAAATGCTTGACCAAATTGCCCGGCAGATGATTGACTTCTACAAAGACTTGGTGACTCAGCGAGTGATGGACCAGCGCATTATACAAGAACTGTACAATTTTAAGAATGTTATTGAGGAACTGACTAGGTAAAAACTGATTATGTTAAAGACAAGACAAAAGTCATGTCTCTAGAAAGAGTAAAAAATATTCAGGGAAAGTAGAATGATTAAAAGTGAGGGCTCTTTTGTTCTCTTTTCTTGTTTAGTAAGAGAACAGAAAGGATTGGATATAGATGTATGTAGGGAGCCGGAGGCTTGTAGTAAGGGTTAAGCCTGAGAGGTGGAGGTTTATAGTAAGGGTTAAGCCTGAAAGCTGGCAGGCTGACAGGCTCTCAGACCCGGGTGAGCAGCGTGGGAAGGTTGGCCGCCGAGGAGAAAACAGTCAACGGCCTTGAAAGCTAGAGTGGAATGCCATCCTATTAACAGTTTCTGCTTGTTATGTTTTGCTTTAACCTTGGGAAGATTGCTTCCCTACACCTTATGGAAAGTCCCGGGGGAGGTGTTCCCTGGGAGAAGGGGACTATTCCCTCAAGTTCCCAAAACCCCCTACCTAAGGAAAGTTACTTTTGCTATAAAAGCTGTGTGTAAACAATAAATGGCGCCACTCTCTGCTATCAGCATTGGGTGGACTTCCTGTTCCCAGCTTTCGTCTCTAGTCTCTTTCTTTTCCAGTCTCCCACCCAATCCTCTCAGGTACCTTTTTGGTAGACTCCTCGCTGACGCGAGTCAGGAGTGCTCGTTTGATGTGCGGGTCACATCAGATGTAGGTATAGATATAGAGACATGGGTTACACAGGTCAACACAAAACTAGGGCTCTGTGTATATTCAATGGGGAAAACGCTGTTGTTTTTCCTTCCAAAATAGATAAGTTTATCTTAATCAGGTTTACAAAGCAGTGCAAATTATAAATGTTAATGTTCAAATAATAAGCATTATATACCAATCAAGGTTAGTGACCATCTAACCTTGTAGCAAGGTGATTCATAGCAAGAATGAAAGGACAGAGTAGGTGTGTCAGAGGAAGCGGGAGCGGCCTGGAGGTCTGGCTGTCAGCATCTGCCTTCTCTGCATTCTAGAGGATCCCCCACATCTTCTTTCTGCCTTTTCTAGGCAGCTGGCTTCCATTGCCAATCCTGGCAAGATTCCATCCAAATGTATGCTAGATTTATTTGATTGGCTTGTAAGGTGAAAAAACTAGGAAGAGATGTACACATGATAACTGAGAATATTCCTGCGTGTCAATCTGATTTCCGGGGAGAAACCTTTTGGAAATCTTCAACTAGGACTATAAAGTTTCTTTGCTTTATTTCAGGGAGCTGTGTTTGGTTCAGGCACATGATAATAAATTAACAAAGGAAGCAGAGAAGACCCACAGGGATTTGGCACAAGCTCTTTTAGATGCTGAAAAGAATGCCAAGTGAGTTACCAAATATTAGCCATTATGTCATACTTGCTTCACACTTTATTTCAAAATTTTATAGAAGCACTTGAAGGTTTTTTTTTTATTACAGTAGTGTAAAGTTCATTACATATATTAACTCCTCCAGGCACTGTTGTAATACACATCTTGTAAATGCCATTTTTTTGTTTTGTTTTTTTTTTGTAAATGTCTTCTTGTGTGAGAGATTTCCAGGGGTATATACCTAGAAGTGGAATTACTGGGTCAAAGGATATGCATAGCCTTGTCTTGCTAGATGTTGCCAAATATTCCACAAAGTAGTTGTACCAGTATATTCTCTCATCAGTGTAGGAGAGTTGTCTTTTGCCCATATCTTTCATCAATTGGATGGGTATGAAAAGGTACCTGGTTTTTGTTTGCGTTTTCCTAATTAGTAGTGTGAACGTAGTTCTTTTTTAGATTTTAGTGACTCTACCATGGTCTTGATTTTTATTCTCTTTCAGGGATTAGCAACTTTGTCTGTAAAGGGTCAGATGGTGAGATATGGTTTCTGAGGCAACTACTCAATCAATCCTGCCCTTGTAACATTGTAATGCAAAAGCAGCCAAGGACAATACCAGAACATGGCTGTGTTCCAATAAAACTTTCTTTGAATTTATGACATTTTCATGTGTCAATGAAATAGTATTCTTCCCTTGTTTTTGCAACTATTAAAAATTATAAAAAACAAAATTAATCATGTAAAAAATTAAAAATGTAAAATTTTTAGCTCACATACTATACAAGAAACAAGTGGTGGGCCAGATTTAACCCGCAGGCAGTGGTTTGCTGAGCTCTATTTCATTTTCTGTTAGAATTCTGATTACTAGAAGCTCTTGGGTATATATCAAAAGATATATCTGATTTCATTTTTATTTTTTTATTTAGTTAATTAACAATAATATTATTATATTATCATAGAAGCAGTACATGTACCTTATAAGAAAATTAGAAAATGCAAATAAGCAAAAATTAATTAAAAACATATCACCATCTCACCACCCATAGAATACTGCTGTAAATATCTTACTGTATATTCTTATGGATCTTTTTTCTATGTACATGTGAACACATGCATTGTTTTAAACCAAAATGGTATTGTATATACTATTAAATAGCCTTTTTTTTTAGTCAACAATCTCTACCTATTTCAATAAATTTTCACTTCATAAACTACCCAGGTCATATTCAAATTTCTCTAATTATTTCCAAAATGTATTTTGCATTCAGTTGTCCAAACCAGTATCCTATCTAGGACCATACATTGCATCTTGTTTTATGCCCCTTTTAATCCAGCATAGTCTTCTGCTTTTCTTTAATTTGTTGAAGAGTGATTCTCTCTC